GCTCCTAGTTTTATTGATTTGTTCTACTGTTCTTTTGGTTTCCATTTCATTGACTTCTGCTCTGATCTTTATTATATCTCTTCTTCAGTTGGGTTTAGGCTTTATTTGGTGTTCTTTCTACAGCTTCCTTAGCTGTAGAGTTAGGTTGTATATTTGTTTCTTGAGAAAGGCTTGTATTGCTATATACTTTCCTCTTAGGACCGCTTTTGCTGCATCCCAAAGATTTTGAACAGTGTTTTCATTTTCATTTGTTTCCATGAATTTTAATTCTTCTTTAATTCGCTGGTTGACCCATCCATAGCAGATTCTTGCTGCGCTGCTCCTCCCAGAGGAGGAAGGTGAGTCTCCCCAGATCTGCTGCTACTTGTTGACTGTGCCTCAGATCATGGTTGATGGTAACCCCGAGCTGAGAGCTCACTCCTAGGCTTCATCTCGGCAGCCAGCTTCTCTGCTCCTATACATGGGAGCTCTGTCACACTCGGACACCCCTGGTGTTTTAATGACCCCACAGGTCCTGAGACCACACTGTCCCTAAGAGGGCTCCACTCCCCACTTAGCCTCTGGAGCAACACCCTTCAGTGAAGCCAACTTCTAAAAGTTCCGATTTTGTGCTCTGCTGCTCTGCTGCTTGCTGGGAGCTGGCCCCTCCCCACCGTGGTCTACCTTCCCATGTATCACCTCGGATTCACTTCTCCACATGTCCTACCTTCCAGAAAGTGTTCGCTTTTCTCTTCCTAGAATTGCTGCTCCTCTTCTCTTCCATCTCCTGTTGAGTTTGTAGGTGTTCACAATGGCTTGTAACTATCTAGATGGATTCCTGGGACCCGGAGAAATTTAGGTCTCCTACTCCACCATCATCACATTTATTTAAAATTAAGTACAAACTATCCTTGAAAATTCCCAAGGGAGACCCAGTTGGAGGATGGTATCCCACTAAGTCCAAAATGGCCTGTTCTTTCTCCAGCCTTGGAAGGTCTGTTTCTTTTCTCATCACGAGAGGAAGTCACTGGCTCTAAGCTTAGGGTATGATGTGTTGAATGAAAAGCTCACACTTTCACACCTGTGCTGAGATGTACCCTGATCATGCAGGACTCATCCCTTAGCCATTATATGTTACCTGTTTTGTTTGCCTGTGTGCTCTGGAAGTGGCTTTGTAAAGAATGACTTGAGAAGTCAGCTTGTCCAATCCTATCTTTGTGGTGGCTCCAACTGGGATAGTCCTGACCAACATCTGTTAGAGGTCAAGTTTGGGTTCCTGTTGGCTCAGCCTGAAATGCTTCACAAGCAAGTTCTTGCACTCAGAGTGGAAGGTTACCCATTGCTCCCTCCCCATCAACCTTCTCACCTTCCACAGGCCCATACGTGCCAGCTAGGGGCTTTCCTTCAGTTTTGTGTGCACCTTGTGAAGGTAGAGAAATAGGGATCTGGATTTCCATCCAGCTGGAACGTGTCAAGGTGCCAGGTGTGGAGGCAGAGCTTGTGTCACTGTGGACCCACAAGACGAAACCAGCTGAAACCTGGCCTGTTGGGATTTCAGTGTGGTGATGGCAAGCCCTTCCTGTTCTATGATTAAGGCTGTGGAGGGGTGCAGTGCTGTGGGGGGGTGCTCCCAAGGGGATTTTTTTTTTTTTTTTAAATATTAGAGAGCACGAGCACGCTGAGGGACAAAGGGAGAAGCAGGCTTCCTACTGAGGAGGTTGCCCAACACCAGCTCCAGGACCATGACCTGAGCCAAAGGCAGACGTTTAACTGAGCCCCCCAGGAACCCCCCTCCCCAAAGGTGATTTATAAAAGAAAAGCAGAGACAGAATCCGACCTTTCCCTGACTTGAGCTGTGATGCCAAGGTGCTGCCCTTCCTGCTCAGGTCTCAGCTTGGAAAGCCCTCACTCTTGCCAGGACCAGCATTTCCTAATGCGACTCAGGTGAACTTGTGCTCTCGGGGCAAACATTTGCCTTGGTACCACTTTGGTCATTGACCTGCGGGCAGTGCCCTAGTCCTCTCTAGCCCTGCCCTTTCCCCCCAGTGACCTGGCCTCTGTGCACTGTCTAAAGCCAGACAGTCACTAGGGGGAGCAGCCATGAGGCTGGGGTGGTGGCTGGGCCTGGGGAGAGAGCTGCTGGGGGAAAAGCCGCCCTGTGGGGCCCACACTTGCTAGGGATGGAGAGGCCATGCCAGCCCTCCAGGAGGAACCCCTTGGGGAGGACGCACACCTGTGACAGGGCCCACGAGGACCTGGTGTCCAGTTCTGGTGGTTTCGGGCAGGCCTGGACCCGGCCTAGGAGAGTCAGTGGAGTTTGATCAGTGGAGTTTGACAGGTCTGGGACCCCACCCAGAGTCCTCAGGCTGGCCAGGCTGACTGTGTAGCTCCACACCAGCCTCACCTCTGCCCCCATGTGTCCAGAAAGCAGCACTTTTAAACCCTGAAGGTTTCCAGGTACAGACCTTCCTCAGTTTGCAGTGGGATTGTGGCCCAATGAGCTCATTGTAAGTTGAAAATGTATTTAACACACCTAACCTACAGAACATGATGCTCTGCCTAGCCTACTTTAAATGCGCTCACAACATACACATTAGCCTTCAGGAGGGCAAAATCCTCCAACACAAACAAAGCCTGTCTTCTAACCAAGTGTTGACTGTCTCATGTAATTGGCTGAAAGCCACACGGACAGAAACAGCGTGGTTGTGCAGGTGTCACTTGCCAGCCCCCGTGAGTGCATGGCTGCTGCCCGGCATCACGAGTCAGGATCGTACCGTGTGCATCGCTAGCCCAGGAGAAGATCGAAATTCAAAGCGAGATTTCTTCTGAATGCTTACTGCTTTTGCACCCTTGTCAAGTAGAACATTCCTAAGTTGGGGACTGTCTGTATCCTAGGGATGGGTTGGGAAGACCGTATTTGAGTCTCTGGATTTGATGCCTGCGGTGGCCCCATCCATGTGCGGAGTTCTTTTGTGTTTGAAAGGAAAGCAGGGCTGATTCAAACCGTTGGTGAGAACAAGTCACATTTGGTGAAGGCCAGCAGTGTAATCCTGAGAGAACTCCTAGCCGTGTTGCTTGCAGTGAGGTGCGAGGGGCCTCGCAGTCTCCCCTATGCCGGCATTAGTCGGAGCAGCGGAGTCCTGGGCGCCAGGCTTGAGGGCCTCCACTAACACAGAAGACTTTCACCTGTCCCTACCATTCTAGAAGATGTTTCTGGAATAGGGTTGTGGAACTCTGGAGATCAGAGCTCTGTCCTCAGTGAATCAGTACAGTGAGAGGGTGATTGATGTCTCTTCTCTTCGGGCTCTTGTCAGGGAAAGAAGAGGAAGGACTTTGAACAATTAAAAGAATATGAATATAAATTGTTCATGGAATCAAAGGTCCTGTAGAAATGTGTATTTGTTGACCAGTGACCCTAAGGTGACCTAAGGGGGCAATCTGAAATTGGTCCAATTTTCTTATTTTACAAATGAGGACACTGAGGCTGAGAGATTAGTAACAGAATGTTTACATCTCTTTAAGAAAGACTTAGCAATTAGGGTTGGGGTTGGAGAGTTCTGGAGAGGCTTGAAGTCCCCTTCCTTTGGAGTTTTAGGACTAAGGGCTGGGAGGAGGACCTGCTGTCCTGGCCCAGAGCCAGGGGATGGGCTGGGCTCCAGAGGGGCCTTCAGACCCCTCAGCAGCCGCGGACCTGGGACGATGTGGAGAACAGAGGTGCTCCGGGAAGGCCCCAGCTCTCTAACAGAGCGATCCTGGGGCCAAGAGGGACAGTCCTGAGGAGCTGAAGACTAGGGCAGGTGAACAGAGAGAGAGGGCCCACTGTCTGTCTGTCTGAGATAAAAGCCGTCCATTACAAAGAGAGAGAAGACATGGGCTGTGGGACAAAACAAGAGAAATTGAGAGAGATGGAAACGGTGTAGACAGATGTGCAGACACAGCAATTCGTTAAATGTTTACTGAGCAGCAAGCGTGGTAGTCCCTGCTCCGGGGACTGGATAAGTGCCCCCCAACTCCTCTCCCTGGCTGCCTGCCCTCCAGCCAACCCATGTCCACCTCCCCTTGCCCATGGGGAATGCGGGGTGGGGCAACCCCTCGGCAGGGGACAGTTCTTGCCTCTGCTGATGGAATCATGGCCACTTGCAGCGTGTGCAGAGAGGACCTGGCTAGGCCTTCCTAGCCTGTCCCTACCATTCCCTTCTTCTACATTCACACCACTTGTCAGCAGCTGGGGGACAGCGGGCAGCTCCCGACAAATGCTTGTGTGTTTTGATGACTTCCTTTCCCTCACTTCTCATATCCATCAGTCACAGGGGCCTGGCAGTTGGCCTCCTAAACTAATTCTTCAGTCCTTCTCTCTACCTCTGAACATGGACTGCTGCAGAAAGCTCCCGCCTTGCTTTGAGTAACAATACCGTGCCTCTTCAGTCCAACCTCTGTGGTTCTAGAATGACCTTCTTAGGAGATAAAGCAAATCAGGTAACCCACCACCCTGCACTCCCACGTTCATACCCCTTCAGTGGTTCTCTTCGGTTTATAAGCTAACTTCTGTGTGTGCGGCAGACGGTAGCCTCCACCTGCCTTTGGGGCTCTGCTGCTCCCAGCCCCGAAGCCAACAAGCCCTCTGGTCATCCAGGCGGACACACACGCTGCCTGGTCTGGAGATCACTGGCTGGTCTCTCTGCACTCAGAAGCCTCATCCTCCCTCTTAAGTCATCGCCCTGGGCCTTAGGTGTTCCTCCCTTAGCACCTGCCACTCAGTCTGGAATCACAAGCCTCCCCTTCCCTACAGAGGTCAAGGGACATCATCCCATCGCTGTGCGCCCTGCCCGAGTGGCCTGTGTGTCAAAAAGGAGTGAGGAAGGAAGACAGTGTCTTCTGTGTGACTTTAGGTTGTGACAAGATCTCCTGGAAGAGGAGAAGCTCCTTGACCTCCGTTCTTCCAGTCACTAATGCACAGCCTCGGTGGTCCATATAGCTAAATATAAAAATAAAATGTGTTCACAAGCTCTTGTTTCTTTCAGTAACCTTGGAGGCAATACCATCAATGCAGCTGTCCTGAATCTGCTTCAGGCCGGAGGGACCCGGGAAGAAATCAAGCTGGACCAGCTGGCGCCCCAGCTCCAGGCTGAGATTGCAGAGTCCACGGGTAAGTAGCTCCCAGCCTCTGGGGACGGCTTGGGGGTGGGGGTGGGGGCCTCTGGGCTAGGATGTGGGCTCCTGAGTGGGACAAGGCCCAGAGGATACACCTCACAACACCTCACAAGAGACGGTCTAAGAAAGCTAAACTCGTTTTTCTGAGGCGGCTTTGACGGTCGTTGCCCCGGCTCTGGGAACCCAGGCAGTGGCTCTTGAGCAAGAGCGTCTGTGAGCTCAGTGGTTCACGCCTCCAGCTACCTCCTGCTTTCTGCTGTGAAACAAAACCATAAACCTGCACACAGTGATTTGGAGTTAGCGGGGCACGCCTTCCCTCAAAGGAGACGTGGCTCTGTAGTTCCTGACATGAGCTTTAGGGTTGGGGACTGACACCTTAAAACTCCAGCTGGGGTAAGCCCCAGGGTGGGCACCATGTAACTCTGGTCTCCATTTCAGACACTGGCTTTGGCCACAGCTGTCTTGTCAAGGAAAACCTGATTGACTTCTTCATCCCCTTCCTGCCACTGGAGTACCGCCACGTGAGGCTGTGCGCACGCGATGCTTTCCTGAGCCAGGGACTCCCATACACAGAAGCAGTCCTGGACCAAATTGCCAAGATGATGGTGTATCTCCCCAAGGAGGAGCAACTCTTCTCTTCTCAGGGCTGCAAATCTATTTCTCAGAGAATTAACTATTTCCTCCCTTGAGAGCTAGAGGAGGACTTCTTGCAACTGCCTGCCTTTCACCAGTGGGACCCTGAGGTGGGTCACGGGACTGTCTGGGACTCTAAGGGCAGGAGGGGTAGGCTGGCCTCCAGCCATCACTGACACACAAAACATGTATTAAAAGGAAGGCCTTAAATCAGAAACAGAGCCAACACTTTTTAATCACTTGGTGCCTTAAAGAGCCACATTCCAAAACGTGGGCCAGGTGGTTGGAGAAAGCCACAGGCCAGATTGAGTCCCAAGGCCTCGCTAGCATCTCCACTCTTGCCTGCAGATGCCTGGACTTGGGCGTGAGGCCGGAGGTCACGGGGTCCTCCCTGACCGGGAAGGGAGAATCCCGTTCTGCCTAGCAGCTGCCTCGGGCTGCACCTCAGGTGTGCAGGCTGGGGGCTTAGCTTTCAAGTTGTTCCCAGAGGGAAGCTGAGCAGCTTCTGTGAGCAGATCAGCAGAGAGCCTCAAGCTAAAGGAAAAGTACACAGAGAAATAATTTTTTATAATATATATGATGTCAGTGGAGGTTAAGACTTGCTTTCTTAGATTTAAAAGAAAAATTTAAGGCGCTTTGACATGGCTGTGTCATGTGTAAAGATTAAAGTTTATATTTTTCTAAAACACTCGGCCTGCTTTCTTACTGAGACCTGGTCCTCATGCTCACTCACCGAAACTCCAAGAGCGGGCGGCAGATGCTGGCGGACGGGGTGACCCCAGCTCTGCCAGGTCACTTCCCGTGGCCTCACGCAGCAGCCAAGCTATTACTTCAGCCTCTTACTGAAGAGCCTCTCACAGCATCGTGCTCCTGTACGTGGAAACGCCACTCCCGGGCTCCCAGCTATAAAAAGTCTCCATTTTTGAGGTTAGAATGGCCATGTATAAATGCGAACATTGTGTTTCTAGACACAAGGGATGTGCCTTGTGTCTTTTCCCTGCTCTTCGTTCTTTTGCTCTTCTGGACTCGCACACAGGTCTTTCTCTTAACTTTTGTCATCACCTCAAGTATCCCCTCTTATTTAAAGCCCTCCCCAACCCTCTTCCGTTTAGCCCTGGACAAAGCAAGCTTCGGGCTCTCTCCCATTGAGCACTTTGACTGCACTCGTTTACACACGGTCTCAAGCTCAGGGAGTACCTGCAGCCTGAGCCACATTACCTTCTCAGTGTGCAAACAGGTGATTGAGGGACTTCTCACTAACCACGGGACAAAAGCCCTGCTTCACTGCACAGTTAACAGTGGCTGGGTGTGTGGTGGCGGGGGGGGGGGGCAGTGTTAGCCACTGGCTGGGTGTCTCAGTCTAGACTATTTTGGGAAGAAGATGCAGCCCACGTGATCCTGTTACAACCCCAGCTCCACACTCTGTAAATACGATTTTTTTGATTTTTTTTGCAAGACAGCATGCAGGAGTCGGGGTGGTGGACAGAGAGGGAGAAGCAGGCTCCCTGTTGAGCAGGGAGCCGGCCCAAGACCTGATCCAAGGACAAATCCAGGAGCCTGGGATTTGGGACTCGAGCCGAAGGCAGACGCTCCACCAACTGGGCCAGCCAGGCGCCCCCGTATAGACACTTTACAAGGTGTACTTTCTGTCTCAGAGCCATCCTTTAGCACCGGCTTTACCACAGCTGATGGCGTAAACGGGAGGGTGCGACCTGCTTGCACGGGAGGGACGAAGGCAGGCAGCAGGACGCAATGGCCTCCCATATTTCCCTGGTGCTCAGCTGCTCAGCGCTGTGAGACCACAGAAGGCCACGGACCGCAGCTGAACCTTGCTTTCTAGCTCTGTCCCTGGACTTCCCTCGCAGAGCTGCTGTGAGGATCGAACAACTCCATCTTTATAAAGTGCTCAGGAGTGCTCGCTTCAGCAGCACATATACCACAAAGTGCTCAGGACACAGAGCTTTGGTGTCTAGTAAAGGACAATCTAATAAAACTGCTGTCAGTTGGCACCATAATCCAAGCCAAGGTGGGGCCTCCCCCAGCCCCTGGCCCCACTAGTCCGCACAACCCCAGCTGAAGTTTGCTGTCGGTAGCCAACACTTGAGGACCTGCCACGGGCCCCGCATGCCCTGTGCTGAGCACTTCATAGCCGTTTCTTCATGTCATCGTTAACGCTGACTTTGGTGACGAGGAAATCGAGGCTCTGAGAGGTAAAAGATCATGCACGAAGTCACAGAGCTAGTCAGTGGGCTGGAGGGGCTCAACCCAGGCAGTCTGCCTCCAGCTCGCACGCTTTCGTGACTTGTTCCTACAACAGATTTCCTCAGCGGTGTGGGATGTTACAAATAATACAAAAGAGGAAGAAAATCACAATGGAAGGTTCTCCTCCAGAAACTCTAAAACAGGATTTCCCAACTAAACCAAAACCGGGCAGGAGGAAAAGACTGCAGGGGGAGCGCGAGCGGGTGTGTAAGGGGATGCTGGAGAGGCCTTCCAACAGCACCTTATGTGTGCGCCCCATGAATACAGCCTACTCCGACCTAATTACAGTGGTACTTCTAAAAGCAATGAACGTTTTTAAAAAAAACTGAAGACCAAGTCAAGCAAGAGGAGAATGTTCTGACATTCTATACGTGCTTTATTAATGCTACTTTGGCTCAAAACTTTTTCAGAAACAAGGTGCCTGGGAGGCTCAGTTGGGTAAGTGCCTACCTTCAGCTTGGATCATGATCCCAGGGTCCTGGAATCAAGCTCCGTGTGGGGCTCCCTGCTCGACGGGGAGCCTGCTTCTCCCTCCCCCTCTGCCTGCTGCTCTGCCTCTTGTGATCTGTCAAATGAATAAATGAAAAATCTTTAAAAAAAAATACCTTCCTAAAAAAATAAAAATAAAAATTTAAAAACACCTTTCTAATAATACAATTGGCACTTGGATAGAGTAATTAAAAACACACACACACACACTCTTTCAGAACCTATTCGGAGTGTCCCCAGAATGGACTCTGAGAGAATTAAGTCTCCCTTCACAGCCACCGTATGTTAGATACACACATTGCCCACCGTATGTACCTGTTGGACTCCAGTGATGCCTTTGGCCATTTCCAAAAGGTGTACTCCATCGAAGAATGAGCATTCACTCCCACAGAGGACAATCAAAACAATGTGCCAGAGGGACATCGCTAAAACCAGCTTCTCTACCTTACAGACTTCTATTTTACTGTGGGGAAAGATACATCCTGCAGATTCCCTCTCAGTTAAAACTGAGAGAAACACTCCGATCAGAAGCCACTTTGCCAATAAAATATTGCAACCTTTATTTAAAATAAAACACAAGTTGGCAAGCCTTGTGAGAAAACAGGCAGACAGCATTCCCCTTTCAAGGGCCTCATTTATTTACATCAAGTTTAACACTGTTAGCAGTTCACAGTCAGACAACAGGGTGAGAGAATTAAATTAGAAAAACAAAACACCTGAAAATATATTACAAGAACAAACACCTGACAACACTGGTAGTGTAACCCATGACTGATGTGTTTTCAATGACATCCCGTATTGTCTGTGTCCCCTCAGCGGTACACACAGTGCCAGGCCCTCCAGGCCTCACCCCCGTGCACCCACCACGCATACACCTGTGGAGTGTGACCTTTGGTATAAACGCTAAACAAGTTTTAAAGACTGAATCATGGGTTTTAGGATAAAGGTTTGTCAACCACCATAAAATGTTCAAACTTATTTTTGACAAGCATAAAACTGGGTTTCTCCACTGATAGTCGTTACAGAAGCAGACTGCAAGAAGGGAAAGTGTGGGATCTACCCAGGAGACGGGGGTTCTGAGGGTGCATACGCAGCTCAGCCTGCTTGTGGCCAACACACCAAACCAGGGCACGGTTTCTGCTCACCACGGGGAAAGATCTGAGTGACTCCCCTTTCACCGACTCCCCTCATTTCTCAGCACAACAATGGTGCAGGTACAGAATGTGGACAGAACACGTACCCGCTACACAGATCTGAGAGATGAGCGTTTTCAAACATATGCCCTAAAGAACTCGGAGTACCTCATTGTCTTTTCTAGTTTCTGAATACTAATTTCTCCCAAGGACAATCGCCCTAACCGAGGTGATTTCTTAAGATCACAGAAGATTTCTCTCATAACGGAATTCCAACAGTGGCCACAGTGAAAATGGCTTGTCAAAATGGAGGGAAGCTGGCTAACCTGGCCCTCGCCTACCAGAAAAATCTCAGTCTCCGGGCATTCTTGCCAACTCTCAATACATGGTATGGTGCTTCTGAATCGTGCAGAACAGTATTTGGGATTCAACAGCGAGGACCCTAAAGCCCTACATGATCCTGCAAGATCTTCTGAATCAAGAAGAAATTTATTTGGCATACCTGTGTTACTGTTGTGTCATGACTGCTGAAAACTATCCTTACATGTGGGATCTTTATTAACCACAAGAAGCCCCATTCTCCAACTGAAGTTTATGCTGCTGAATTACAGCATTTGAAACACCTATCCTGAGGCTCAGAAAAAAAAAAAACCAATAAGCAAGCTTCAACAATACGGACTATTTCCTTTCTTGAAGCCCACTAGTGTTGGACAGTTCATTGCCACCATGTCCTGAGGAACGGACTATGACACTCCCAGACCTCAAGCCCTGTGTGTACAGCTCAGCAACTTGGAGGGATATGCAGGACCCAGAAACTTGCTCCTCTGAGTAAAATGATGAACAAAGGTTTTCACAGAACACATACAGAGGGCACGTATGGGGTGTAGCCTGAGGACAAAGTGGAGGTTAGGCTTTCGACTTAAAGGAGACACACTTTCCTTCCGATGGTCTGCAGGTTAGATCTGTTCACACGCCATCTGTGACCTTGGGCCGTACACATACTGTGCTCAGTATGTGTACTCAACAATGGGAAAGTTAAAGGATGTAAGTTCTCTAACAGACAAACAGTTTCAGATTCGTAACTGTACACAAGAGCAAAGATGTGCACTTGGAGGGAGGGAAGGGTGCAGGGAGAGCAGCCTTCCCCCAGCTCATCCAGTGGGCTGGAAAAAAGTGCAGTCTGTCACAGCAGCATCCTGTGGCGGGGTCGGGGGGGTGGCGACAGCTCAAGCAGGGACTCTCACTGACTGTGGCACTGAGCCACCACCACCCACCTAACCCGTTCTAGCTCACTAATTGTACACCATCAACCCAGCTTACATGTCCCTCCTCCACAAAACGCACAAAACTCATCTTTGAAGGCACAATCCTCAGAGTGACCTTTACCACTCCAAGTCATCCTAGAATCAGGATGACCTGCCTTGGCCTCCTCACCCAGAGAGAAGCATGCGGTCTTCCTACCCTATCATAGGGTGGAGGCTTCCCTAATGTCCTGCTCTTGGGCTCTAGGGTACAGAGTCAGAAATGAAG